GCGGTGGGGATCGGCGCGTGCATTGTTGTACGCGTCGAAAAGGAGGTGCTCGTATACGCACCGGCCGTCGCTACCGTTGTTGTTGGCACGTTCGAGGTCGGAACGTACGACGTCGCTGTTGACGTGTTACGCTCCGGCTCGGGCTGACTCGGTATCGGGTTCGGCTGAGGAGGCGCTCCAGTAGACGGGTCGGTTGTGACGACTTCGACGAAGTAGGATGTGTTGGTTTCCTTCTTCCCCAGTTCATGGGCTGGATTATCGCCCCACAGGATGTCGCGTATTGTTTGCGACGGATGGTAGTCCTGTGCCATGGACGTCCTGTAGGATGGGGGGTCGGCGCTGGTTTGTTCCAGGTGTTTCTTCTCCTCCCGAAGGCACCGGATCTCGGTGTCCAACTCGTCCATTTGCCGCATCATTTCCGTGATGTTGCTGGCGGCTTCGGTCCCGTAGTCGAACAGTTCGTTCTCACGGGCTTCAAGGTAGACGATGCGGTTCCGTTGCGCTTCGTTCACCTTATGAGCTTCAGCCATGTTGTATTCCAGCTGAGCTCGGAGTTTCTCCTCCTGTTTGAGGTACTCATTTAAGCCGTAGACTTGGTCGACCAACTGTGTGTTGGCGTCTTGCAGGTCGGCTATGATGGTTCTGTGTTCCGGCGAGGGTTGCTGGCGGCCAAGGTAAGTCGGACTCTGTTGTCGACTCCTGGCCGTTAGCACTTCCAACTCGGTTTGGAGTCGGTCGGCTAATAGTCGAAGCTGGTCGACCTCGTTGTCGGCCTGCCGTAATTCGACTATGTACCGGTCCACTTCGTTCCGGTACACTTCGGCTTCTTCGTTAGCTCGGTTGAGCATTTCGTGGAAATGTCCCGCGGCTTGTTCCGAGGCGACCAAGGCTGTTTGTGTGTCAGCCAATTCCTTTTCCATGTCGGCAAGTTGTCTCTGCAGTTCGGAGACGGCCTGTGTTGACCGATCCAACTTGCCGTTAAGTATAGTTACTTCGTCGGTGTCATATCGACATGGTCCTTCCACTCGTTTTATGAAGGCCCTTAGCCGGTCGATCTCACGCTGTTGGTCGGCTATGCCTTTGTTGGCGGCCGCCATGTCAGCTTCCCATTTCCTCCGTTCGAGGCGGTGAGTGTCTTCCGACCTTGCGCATGAGCCTTCCGCTGCGTTAACAAGTTTGTCAGCCAGTACGATCTGTGTGATCAGCTGGTGACATCGTTGTCGAAGCACGTTAATGTCTTCGATCTTCTCCGGCGGTGTTGCCGAAGTCCACTTCCGTGCGGTGTATTCCAGCACGCCGGCGTCGTATCTGTCCTTGTTGGACTTGGCTGGTGTCTGGAGGGATTCATCCCCGCTGTTGGGTAATGATCCCGTTGAGTCGAAGACGTCGTCGGTTGGTAGCGATGTTTCGCTATCCGATTCTCCGACGGCGAATTTGGGAAATGCTGTCCGGTTGGCAGGTCGACTTGTTGTCGACTTCCCCTTTGTTTGAGTCTCCGTTGTTCGGGTCGACTTATCCATTGTTGGTAGAGGTCGACTCACCGGTGAGGTAACCCGTTCGTTGGGTGCCGGTGTGTTAGTCGGTGATCCAGCTGGATGGGGGCCGCTTCGTGGCGGTACTTCGGATTCTTCGATCCTGACCGTAGGTTTGGTCGGCTGGACTCCGATATCCGACCTGTTGTCGGTTGATTGTTGTTGTGGATTGGTCGGCTTCGAATGTCCGACCTCCTTTTGACCGACCTCCGAGGTCGGACATTGTTGTCCGACCTTCGTGGTCAGTCGCTGTTGACCGACCTTCGAGGTTGGTGACGTCCTTCCGATCTGTGTGATCGGTTGGGCTTTGCCGACTTCGGTTGTCAGCTGATCGGCCTTCCGTTGGTCGACTCCGGAGATCGGACTCTGTTGTCTGACTCCGGAGGTCGGACTCTGTTGTCCTGCTTCGGAGATCGGCTTCGGTAGGCCGACTCCGGACATCGGACTTTGTTGTCCTGCTTCGGAGATCGGCTTCGGTAGGCCGACTCCGGACATCGGACTTTGTTGTCCGAACTCCTTTGTTGGTGGTTGGTCGACCTTCCGTTGGTCGACTTCGGTAGTCGGTTGCTGTTGACTGACTCCGGGGATCGGACTCCGTTGTCCGATCTGGGAGGTCGGTGATTTCCGACCGACCTCCTTTGTCGCCTGTCCGATGTTGGACGAGGTCGACTTCGGCTGCTCACCCTTTGAGTTGGGTGATTTTCGTTCGAACTCGGTGGCTTGTGTAGCCGTTACCGAGGCAGAGTCGGCGTGAGACAATGTGGTCTCCGCCTGCAGCTGTTCCACATCCCCCCCGGTCGGGTGGGAGGGGGCTGCTGTGTCAGCATGGGCCTCCAGGAACGTTTTGTCCCGGGCATCCTCGAAACTGTCATCCGATGTTGGATTCGAGTCAGCGAGGAGGATCCGCTCGTTGCGCTTTTCCCTTGCTTCGGCCGACTTAGTCGAGTCGGTCGAAGACGGCTGACTTCGTTCCTGACCGGAGTGCCGAAGTGAGTACGGCGCGGTCGATGTCGCACGCCGCGAGTAGTCAGTGTTGAACTCTCGGGCGTAGATATCCTTCTTTGGGTTCGACATTGTTGTCGAATGAGGTCGGCTCTGATGGAGCCTTAAAGATCTGTTGCTTTAAACGAGTTAAATCGAACTATCTCCTTTGTGGAGATGTTCGATGAGTTCAGGAACGTCTTTAGGTTCAGGAACTTCCGAGTGTCAGGAACGTCCGGAGAGATGTTGTTGTTGATGTTGTTGTGTCTGTTGGTGACTCAGTACACAGGGTTAATATACAGTACTGTAGTACAGTACAGTACGTTATAGTAGTACGGTGTAGTACGTCCTATATTACTGTGCTGACCAGTATGACGTCACACAGGGTAAGTGGTCTTGCACTTTTGTGCCTACGTCACAGAATGCGAGCCGCGTGCAAAAGTTACAAAAAACGATGATTCACGCTATGTTAGCCTATGGGAACTTTCCCCTGCACGCTGATTGGCTGCCCTCTAAGTACTGAAATCCGGTCGTTATGACGTCACAAGGAAGTACGAGAATTTTAGCGCTCTTTTCCGCGAAAATCAAAATTATTTTTAGGTCGGCCAGAAGGTTTATCTGGTCGGATTTTTAGGTTTTTATCCGTTAGAAATTAGTTTTAGGAATTTAGGAATTTTTCTGGCGGTTGAAACGCCGTTAGAAATCAAAAAGAGGAAAATGTCCGACCTGTTGTCGGTTAGCCTTTGTTAGACTGGGTACGTTGACCTAACAGGTCGGTTCTCGACCAAAAGTAAGATTTTGAGTTCGGATTCTCCGTCAAAATTTACTTTTTCACCGTTAGAAATTAAAATTTAGTAGTTAGAAAATACTTTCAACGGTTGGAAAGTGAAAAGCCGACCTAGTTACGGCTAAAATCGACCTAAACCGTGACTTTACCGGTGTCGGTGTCGGTGTCGGTTCTGGTCGGTTGCACTCCGTCTGAGGTCGGAAATCCGTCGTTTCCGCGCTGAATTCCGCCGTTAGAGTTGCGGGTCAGTGTTCAAACTGAAGGTCCCCGTATTATGGAGTAATCCTTCGCGCTGCAGACTCTCGTTCGAGTCTGGTCCGTCGGTTGGGAAAGGGAAAAGTCCGTGCGTGCGGGACGCGCTCTTCAGTGTGGAAGAGACAAGAAAACCGTGCTCACCAGCTGGGCAGGAATCACTTCAGTGATCCCCGTTTCACCACAGCTGTAAGACGATGCGATCAATCTGATCGACAGTCAGGAAAGAGGCTGCTTCAGCAGTCTCAAACAGTGACTGAAAAGGACTCCTGTCGAGTTCTCCGAAATGAAGCCTTCACCGTCTCCTCAAAGGGTCCGTAGGAAGGAAAACCTTATAGGTCTGCTACCATGTAACAGACTATGGCGAGGAGCTCACGATGTGTCTTTATTAGACAATAAAGGCTGACAATGCTGCGTAATAGCAGGAAGAAAGAACAAAGGCACGTGTGGCCAAATAGCAAGTGTGTGCTAAAAAGGTTCTTGATGCGTCTCGTTGGCGAGTAAGTGTCAAGTGATCCTGGCGGCAAACACGTGCGTGGTGATGCAGGCCAAGACGTGAATCAGCTGTGTGATGCGCAGACTGGACTCTACCCAACGCGAGCGTATGAACGCTGAGTAGTACTGCGAAAGAGGAACGAGAGAGCAAGTATGCTCAGTGTGTGCGCTGTGCGGTATATCCACTTCAGTGGATGAGTGCAGTGCAGCGTCACACGTACGTACAAGAGAGAGGCAATATGGCATGCAAGTGGGTGCAAGTACGCTCCATGTTGAGCCGTACGCACCACGCGCAGGCTCATGTGCCTGACAGATTAATAATTACTAATTAATATTTTTCACTGAATCAGATTTACATTTTTACGCCAGAAGAGATCGTGGAACTGGGTCGATGTGAATAAGGGCGTGTATGCACGGGAGAGTGATCTAAACACAAGAGCCAGTGTAACAACCGACAACGTGCATCGATTTTACCGTATTTGTACAGTCTTACGAGCGGCGTGTTAGTGGAGCCCTTTAATCGTCTCGCATTTCCGCATCGTCGCGGCTCCCTCGTCGCGCATTTCCGCATCGATTGTTTTGAAAATCAAGGAAATGAATTCGAAAATTTCTGATTTTATGAAGTCTGTGTTTTTAAAAATTTTTGAGTATTGAAAAAATTTTTTCTCTACTCAAAAATTTTGAAAAGCGTAAAATGTTTGTATATACCTTTCTTGTGTATATTTTTTTAAGCTTAAAAATTCTAAATGAGTCAGTTAGAGTTTCTTAATTCGAGTACTAAAGTACCTAAGCAGCTGCGTGTTAATTTTCTGCCAGGTTAATTTGCTGTTATACTTCAAGTATCATTCATGGTATTCATATTGTGGCTGTAAGCGAAATATTATCAGGAATATCATTCTCAGAATTTTTTTTTAAAAAAATGGCTTCTACATAAAAAAGAACAGCGGGAAATTTAAACGCCTATTGCAGCCGACGAAAATATTTGGTTAATCTTTGGTTTACAATTTTGTTGCGATTATCTGTCGACGAAATTAACGGGAAACGGCAGCGCGGTATACGTATTATTGTTTGGCAGAACGTCTATCCGGCGCAGGGCGCGACCAACCCGCAGCAACTGTACCAGCGCTCGCGTCCTGGCGGCGCCGCGGATGCGCAGCCACAATTCAACAGCGCCGCCGCCGCCGGCATCGCCGACATCATGGTGGCGGGCGGCGAATACGGCCAGCAGCAGGCTATGCAACAGCAGCCCTACAACAACAATATGGCCTTCGGTCAGCGCGACATGCAGCATTCGGGCAGCACCGGCAGTTTCAACAACTTCGGAAATCAGAATAACAACTACGGCCGGAATGACGGGTACGGGGATCGGGGCGGCTACGGTGGGTATCAGCCGTACGCTGGACATAGCGCAAGGGCTACGGTGGGCATTTCGCAGAATTTCGCCCCGGAAGAGGAGAATTCGCCGCCGACGTGGGCTGACGGTCTGCAGCGGTTCCAGGCATCCTTACACTGGCGCTCTGCTGTGAGTGCCGAGCGTAGAGAAAGTGTTTATTGTGCCATGCAATTTTGTAAATTAGATTCCAGATTCGGCGAAGCGGGCGGTGTTAAGATAACCTTAAAATTAATTTTTATTTCCTAAAAAAGTTTGAAGGTGCTTTTTCGGTGTGCCAAAAAAAATCTTAAAGTTGTTAAACGCGGTGAAAAAAATCGGAGCGGATTAGGCTTGAATATTACTCATCAATATGTCTGAAAAAATAAAATTACGATTTTATTTTATAAAAGGTTTACTGTGCCATCTACACGCAAAAACGAAGAATACTACGAGATAATGAGATCGGTGTATGAAAAACCTTTGTACAATAGTGTATGTGTGCAATCTTACAAAAATTCTTAGCCAGTCAGAGTGTTATCTAAATTGAAATAAAAAAATCAACGTTAAACTGCAGCGTGGTACGCTTTTTTTAGAATAACCCCGATCTGGTGCAGGAAGCGGCCAGCTCGCAGTATTCGGCCAACCCGTACATTCTGCCGGCTCAGGCGCAGATGTACCAGCTTCCCGGCGCCGTGGATGCTCTGCAACAGCGTCCTTTTAATAGCGCCGCCCCGGACTACACGGCCGGCAGCGCCGACATCCTGGTGACGAGCGTTGGTGGTTACGGCCAGCAGCAGTCGATGCTACAGCAGCCCTATAACCACAATACGGCCTTCGGTCAGCGTAGCATGCAACATTCGGGCAGCACCGGCAGTTTCAACAACTTCGGTAACCGGTATAATTATCAGAATAACATTTACGGCCGGAATAATGAGTATGATGCCGTAGACGGTGGCGCGTCCAGCGCCAGTCAGCACCAGGGGCGCAATGCCCAGGTCGAAGTGTTTACTCTAGAAGAATGGAATTCGCCGCTGCCGCGGGATGCCGGTCTGGAGGAGTACGTACTATGATTCTCTAGCTTTTTTAAGCGGTTTTCCTATTGTAAGACTTTTAAATTCAGTGCTGTCAAAAGTAGTATCGTTATAAACCACTTTTAGCCGTGTTGCAAAAGTAAAAAAATGGTCGGTCAAATTTCTGACCACTTGTTGGTAAAAGTAAATTCATCTCATAAATCAAAACATTTAATTGCTGGAAAACTGCCCGATTACAGTGAAATTCCCTAAATTCATATTGCACTGACTTTTTAGTCCGCGTAAAATACTTCTTATCGTAATGCATAAAATTAAATTTGCGTTAAGTAAAGTATTTACTTATTTGTTTTGGAATCGCTGCCATTAAATTAAACGGATTAATTTGGATGCTCTGAGTGTCTGCTTGAAAACTTATGAGTATCAAGAGAGTACAGTATCGTAGTACAGTGGATTTCGCTCTTTAAGCCTCTCTCTTTTTACCTCCGTTGCGGCATAATACATATGTCTGGTGCATTGAACGTCCTATAAGCATTCAAACATCGTTACCGAGAATGGAATTTTTTCCCCAGTATTTTAACTGTTTAGTAATTTTTTGTTTTTCCAGGATGTTGTTCCAGAAAGTCAATACGGGCATGGACAGTGGCACAGCTGAGGTTATTGTAGCGGAAACCAGCGGGTCTAATCCGCCAGAGTCCATTCAGTCGGTATGAAAACTGTAAAATGAGCGCATTTAATCATTTCTGTATTAAATGCATTTTGTAATTTTTATGTGTAGTATTTTCTAAATTGTTCGCGAAGGTTTTCTTCGTTTTTTTTTTATAGATTTATTGCATTCCTTTCCAATGCCATTTGTGTTTTTAATGTGGTTTGTGTTGGGATTGTAGTTTAACGAAATCGGTCTGCATGACATCATACAGCAGAATCTGCAGTTGGCCGGTTACAACGAGTAAGGATGTTAACTTAATTTAAATTTGTTTTTATGGAACTGAAAATTGACAATTTATTTCTACGGTTTGAGTGTATTGCGGCGTTGACTGTTTCTCTGCTAGACCCACATCGGTGCAGCGTCATGCCATACCCATTTTGTTGAGTGGTCGCGATCTGAGGGCCTGGGCACAAAAAGGTACCTTGTAGTAATTTTTATGTGGCTTTTAACTGCGCTTTCGCTACTAATTTATTTTGTTCCGCGCTTTTATTTTTCCATATCTTCTTACATTTACGATATTTAATTGTGTAGGTTCGGGGAAAACGACGGCGTTCTTAATTCCCATCATGTCGCAGATATTGACCGGTGGTCCGCCACAAATTCACATGACGGTACGTTGTTAATGGTTTTGAAAAAAATTTTCAAATAATTGGTATTTTGAGTTTACAAATTTTTGGAAAATTTAATTAGCGCACAGAATCTTTCGCCGATTTATGCCATAATTGTCATGTAATTTGCGCCGGACAAAAATGGGCCTGATGAAAAATGAATAAAAGAAAAACGCTAGCTCGTGGAACTGTTGTTTTTGGTGTTCACGGGTCAGTAGTCTTCTGTACAAAATTATAATCGACTTTTGAAATTATTATTAAAATGAAAAGTATTATTGTGTGGTTAGTTGTGCGCAGCAATTGACGTTCAATTTTCCAATTGTACAGCAGCAACGCCAGGGTGTTCAGTATCCGCTGGCGGTGATTTTAGCCCCCTCCATTGAACTGGCCAACCAGATCCACAAGGAATCATTGAAGCTCGCGTATCGAACGCGGATCCGCTCAGTTGTCTTATACGGATTTCCGCATGAGCGTCTGGCTGTTGAGGTGAGAGATCTGAATTTGCTTGTATGTAGCTTAATTAATTTTTTTATTTATGTTCTCAGTTGGTATCTGCCTGCATCTGTATTTCTTCGCGATGTACTGTACATTAGAAGGGTGTTTATTTATTTATTCCACAGTCTGTTTGTTCACAATTTTTTCACAGTGATTTGAATTTTTACGATTATGTTTTGACACAGAAATATGTCCATAATTATCTTTTTGATTTCTGTCAGCGCAATTTTCAGTGTGATTTATTTTTCTCGGAAATAGAATGTTGAACTGGAACGAGTCTGCCACGTCATTGTGGCCACGCCTGGCCGTCTGAAGTGCCTGCTGGAAGAGGGGAGAGTGTCGTTCCACTTGGTGCGGTATCTGGTCTTGGAACAGGTGGACTTTATCGTCCTGAAGTCGCGCCACGAGAAGTCGCTTCGGGAAGTAATGCGGCTTGTCGGTCCTAAACAGCCCCAGCGGAAAACAATTATGACGCTTACTGCGGACTTTAAGAAGCTAACTGAATTATGTGAAAAGTTTCTCCATGATTTTATCACAGTGTCCGGATATGCGCAAACAGAAGGTAATGTTTGATTGATGTTTGATCTTGTGTATTGCCAAGTTTTTCGCATTCCGGACATTTTGACAATCTGGATTCACGTACCGCACACCTATGAAGATATTCTCTGCATTGCTCCACATGACAAAAACTAATAGCGTGACGATTGTTTTTTTTTGTTCTGTCATTACAACAAAATTGTACCGGTACATGAGATCAACAGAAAATTACCACCTTTGTAAAATTTTCATTTTGCAGGAAAATAATGTAATTTTTCGCATTTTAATTTTTGCAGGGAATTTTCTGCTTCGTTTCGACATCAGTAAGTTTGAAAGTTTTGCATGCATTGTACAGAAACTGCATTGCTTGTATGGAAGTAAAATTTTGTTGCATTTCTTGCAGATGCTACTGCGAGCATCAAACATCAGGAGACACGGAATTGTTCTGATGCTCACAAAGTGCTAGCTGAATTTGGAGTAAGTCGATGTAATGTAATAATGATATGATAATATTAATAATACCACTGAATTATTATTTCATAAATAGTAGTTAGTATAAAATGATAGTAATAAAAAAAGTTATAGGTCGATAAAATTATAACAGCGTAATAAAAGGTTTTTAGCGAGGATAATTTGTGACTGATTAATAATTATTTGTGGGAGTTGCTTAATTGTTATGATTTTCAGATTTCCCATCGATTTACCCGCGTGGTAGTGCAACCGCAGTTTGAAAGCGGGACGTCATCAGAATTTCCGGTTAAACTGTTCTTCGTTATTACGGTCCGCTCCACTCAAAAGGAGCTTATCGATGTGCAATCGTAAGTATAAGCCTATCAGGAAGAACTGCAGCAATTTGCCCCCGAATAGATATGTAGCGTACTTAACACAGACTCAAAGTAATTATCGTAGTGCAGTGGCTCCAGTGCACTAAAGATAATTTCTAGGCGGTGAATTAATTCTTTAGCTGTTTCATGTTTGTGCTTTTTATTTTGTAGTCAGTGTCGCTTGCACCTCAATAGGAACGGAATTAAATGGGCTGACATTACTCCTCTTGCCTCATCCCAGCAGTGAAATTTTTATGGATGATGATCTCACTGGCCCTAGTGTTTGAGCAGGCTGGGCGGCGGCGTTCCTGTTCTGTTGAAGTGCTTTTCAGTCTGTGTTGTTTAACCCGGTGTTTTTAACCCGGTGTTGTTAACCCGGTGTTTTGTTAGTTTTGCTTTATTTGTTTTTTAAACCTGGTGTTTGTTTTATTTGTTTGTTTGTTTAATTAACCCGGTGTTGTTACCCCGGTGTTTTGTTGGTTTTGTTTTGTTCAATTTGTTTTTAATTTTGTTTTGTTAGTTTCTTTAACCCGGTGTTTTTAACCCGGCGTTTTGTGTATTTAACCCGGTTTTGCAATTACTCGATTTAGTACTCTATGGTAATTACTGGAATTAAAATGATTTTTTCTCGTTCATGGTGGCCCGGAAATGTGATGCTGTGACGTCTGTTTGATTGATAAAAATTTGTTAATATTGATCAACCAAATCGAAAGTGAGACTAGAAAATGGAATGATTAATCAGACTTTCAGAACGTGCTGCAATTCGACGCAGCAACTAATATTAACCGCTTAACACTGGACAAAATAAATCACCGTTGAGAATAATCACCGTAAATGCTAATTTCCCTGTCTTTATGGAAAAAACACCGCGATATCACAGATGTGCAATAACATAAAAAAACAAAATATAATTCAACACAGCGGAAAAGTGTATAATCACATGAGAACGCCCAAGGCGGTGGGAATGGCCAGTCCGAGGAAGAGGACGTAGAGGAAGAGCAGGATGCCGCCGTAGACACGGGCCAGCCGGAAGCGGGCGGCCACGATGTAGATTAGTGAAAAGACCAGCGACACCATCAGCGTCCCGGCGGACAGCAGCGACAACGAGGTGGTTTGCACCGGGAAGGGATCAACCGTGCTGGTGGCGAAGCAGAAGGAGGTTCCCACGCCCAGCAATAAATCTGTCAAGTACACCGTTATACATCCGTTGATGCGAATATTTTATTGGCATGCAAGTTTATTTCACAACTAACAAGTAAGAAACCAAAGAAAACGGCTGAGATATTTTTTTCTCAAATAAAAATAATTTTAAATAATAAGAACTAGTTCTTACACGAACTTATTAATCCGAAAAATAATACCCTAACCTAAGGGAAATTACGATTCGTTAGACGGAGCAACTTCTGGATGATTTTCGCCTGCCTGTACAAACACCTGTAGATATACTTAAAAATACATTTATCAGATAAATATATGAGAAATAATATATAAATACATACGAAAATATTTGCACACAAATGTAAATCCATAACCGGGAAAACGCAAGGAACACGATTGGCTGAACAAAAACCTTTTTTTCAAAAATACTTTTTTAAATTTAATTATTACAAATTATTTTGCACACTAAGGTTAATTTGTACGTACACCGACGAACTTTATCGAAACGCTGCCAATTAAGCACGCATTTGTAAGAAGAAGAAAACAATCAATAAATTATTTCTCATTGATCCCCCGGTCAAAAATATGTCAGTAATCAATAATAATAAACAGTTAGTAATTGACGATCATCAAACGAGTAAGGTACAGCAATTTATTTCAATCAATGTTCTATTTAAGGCATATTTGGCATTTTCATATTTACAAAGCAACTGTAAATAAAGCCACATTACGGCGTGTTTAATTCAGTTTAAAAACCGGCACTTACTCATCATGGGACCAGCGAACACGGCCGATATTCCCACCCGTGGCTGGCCGCGGCGGGCCATTCCTGTGTCGGCAATAAAATCTACAAAGCCATATATTTGTACCAGCCATCAGCCAATAAATTCTACTAATGCAACGATCTTCCTTCCGAAGGAATTATATTTACTGAAAAACGAGACCGGGTACATGCCCTGCTTACCGGGAATACTGTCGCCCCACGCCAGCACCGTCAATCCCAGGATGGTGGTCTTGACATTCAGGGCAATCCCCACGGTCTGCAGGCAGGCCACAATCTCGTTGGCCGCCAGATACACCCACACGCAGGCCCCGAAGAAGCCCAGGTACGCGAACACCTACCCGGAGAAAACGCTTACGGATTGCCCACAACCGGAAAAATAATTCTCATAAATCACCGAAAATATTATTTTTCAATATTTTTTTAAAAGACTACACACAAAGGTACAACAATTCAAATACGGAACTAGCTGACAAAATATTCTGCCATCCGCATTTTGTAATGCACCGATACGATCGGCAGTATTACATGACACTGTACAAAATTAGGGACACCATTAAGGACACTACTGTATTATACAGTGCACTATACCCACGTACTGTAAGTGATGCACAAAAAAGGCAAGAAATACACCCGAAAAATACCGTAATAAAATTCTGCTGCACTACGGAATTAACAGACGTAACAAATGCTGGGAAAATGGTCTTACAAAATGATACCAGGGCGGCTCCGTAACATGGGATGTGAAGATGACAAAGGCGGCCACCAGCAGCGCGATCAGCAGCGCCAGCGCCCAGGCCGGAAAGACGCCGCTTAAATTGGCATTGCCGCCTAAAGAAAAACGCTTACTTTAATAAATAACACAGGAAAGAAAACGTAAATCAATAAATAACACAGCGCAGAAAAATCAAATAAATAAATACTGTAAAGAAATTATGTATAATAACGAAATGCATAACGTGAGAAAATAATCAAATAAAAAAACTTAACAAGTATAATTAAATAACTAAACAACTAACACAAAGAAAAATAAATAAGTAACGCCGAAAGCTTACTTAGCTAAATGAAAATTACGCAGAAGAAACAAATAAGCTAACTAAATAAAAAGCTCTTAAGAAAAATAAATTATTAACGAAAAAGTGTAGCCGAACTGCAAGATCACGCCACCTGGTACGAGCACAACGACAAGCATGCGACGACGACGACGACGACCATGCTTTTTTGATTACCTATAGTCCCGGTTGCACAATGCCGCGTCTGCTTGTATGCCGGCAAATGTAAACATCCGCCAACGCTAACACTGCACCGCTGGCGTGGTAAACCAACTATAAACCATGTTTAATTAATAACACGCCGCTCTATATATGAAAACGCTCCGCTGCTGACCTTGTTAACAGCGGAAACCGGCACTTAACCGCAGTTATAGACCCGTGGGAAAACACCCCTCCGCGCTGCTCAACACGGCAAAGTAGCCGCCTAATAAAAGGGTTGGCGTCTGCGGGCGGTTACGCGTGATAACACTGTACTACAGCTTACTTTACCGACAAAAAATTTTTATTAATGTTATCGTTAAAAAGTAATAGTGCCACGCGTAATTTTTAGCCGGTGTTTTACTTTCACATGACATTTATTTTTGGATCATCCAGCACCGCGAAATCGACGTCGTAGCACTAATTTTAAGTCAAGCTTGCGTACGTCAGAGTATTTCACTCTCCAACGGCAGCGCGGCAATTATCAGTTTCGTCAGTAATTATTCCGCTGTATATTCGGCTGCCATTGCCGCACGAACACAACCGTGGTTAATTCGCACGCTTGATCACGTCCGTCAGCAACAACAACAGCAGCGTTATACGATCCTGTATGCACACTACCCTGCCTACACTTTCCGGTCATTGATAGCTGCAGAATTTCGGGAATTTCTATTATATTGTCTGCAGCGATATGGTCATTGTGAGCGGCCGTGCATTAAAATTTCTGAATTGAAAAAAAATTTGCCGGTTCGTATTTTCGGTGCTCTGATTTTGCGTGTAATGTCGTATGACAATGTCATATAAAGAAAAATAATATGCAGACAACATAGCACAATTAAAAGCGCATTTTTTAATTAAAAAATTGCCGGTTCGTATTTTGAACGCCCTGAATTTGCGTGTAATGTTGTATGACAATTTCGTGTAAAGAAATATAATATGCAGATAATATGGCATAATTAAAAGCGCCTCCAGCTGATGCGACGACAGGAAAGCGTGAGTGACAAGCGCCAACAGCGGCCGAGCGCTGTTTTAAAATCACCACTCCGATGCTGATTAATGATTACGCGCCCGGCATTTTTCTCCTGAGCGCCTTTGTTAGCCGCAGCTCAAGATCGTGTCGGAGAGATTGGCCGGCATTTTTTGCATATCATTTTGTTCTTACAAGAGCGCATCTAACAAGTGTCGCGACGACGCAGCTTGATTTAATTTGGCCCCTAACGCGCGGCTTACATTTCCCAGGCGACACAGCTTGGGCGAATAATTCTAGAGGGATTTAAAAATTATCACCTTAGAAAAAAATACCCGATGCCAGAGAATTTTACGGCCATAAAAGAGCCGGTTGATTATATATGAAAGCCGTAATTAAATTTCTTTTCTGTATGGACTGTGCAATTTTGTAAACAGGTTGCCCGTTGCGCAAAGAGATTTTTTTACCGCTGGATTCCGGTTCCATTATTTTTGCTAACCAGCCGATTGCGTCACTTGCATAAACGCATATCCGGGTTACCGCAGATGACAATTATAAAATATTTAATTCGGTAAAGCGATAGCGTGCGTCTGGTGTCTAGACAGATTCGCGTCGTTCCGAAAATCCTCATAAATTTCTTTAAATAATTTTTTTTCAAAAATATTTTCAGCTACATCGTAAACAAAATAAAGGCTAGAAATATTGAAAACAATTTAACGCTATTAATTCGGCTGCTATAGCGCACGTATAGAAAAATAAGACGGGCAAGAAAGAAAACCACTGTACATACTACGACTTCGCATTTCTTATACGCATTTTTGCCTCGTAGCAGAATAACTGGATTTAATGGTAGAATTTTCCTGTTTGAATTTTTTTAGCTTTTCCGCTTTCTGTAAAAAAACGAATGGCTAAACGGTCTTCCGCTGTCTCGCTTATCAATCTGCTGAAAAATATCCGATAAATTTAATCAGTCAACTGACGTCACAGCATCACACCTCCGGGTCAAACGAACTGAATGAACGATAAGAAAACACAAATAATAAAGTCCAAATAAACAACAACACACTGATAATATCAACCGTTTAAAATGTACACATAAATCATGGCTTGAAAAAATCACCGTGAAATGTCATTTTCACCGTATTTAGGAAAAAAGACAAAAAAATCCCGCGATTTATCACAGAAGTGCAGTAATATCAAAGAACAAATAATTCTTCAACATAGCGGAAAACGTGTAAAATCACATGAGAACGCCCAACGCGGTGGGAATGGCCAGTCCGAGGAAGAGGACGTAGAGGAAGAGGAGGATGCCGCCGTAGACACGGGTCAGCCGGAAACGGGCGGCCACGGTGTAGGTAAGTGAAAAGACCAACAACACCATAGTTTTTTGCAATATTATTGTTATTACAAGAGAGAGCATTGTCAAAGTGTCGCTTCGTACGATAACGGTTGATTTAATTTTCCCAGTCAGCGCCGCATGCGTGAATAACTGATTCGAATTCCACAAAATTATAAATGGTTAAAATGTATGGCTGTGAGCGTGGTTTAGCGTAACAACTGCGCGCGCGAAAAACGTCTAATTATCACGTATGAGAAACAACAGCCCGTGCCATAGAATTTTATTCCTAACAACTCTGCAGCTAAGAACTGGTGGATTGCTGCAGAAGGCACTGTTGTACGGACTGTTCTATTCTACAGATACATATGTATCTGTACTTATACTACTACACAACGATACTATATATACTACTAGCGGTGGTTGCGAACCACATTATTGCACGAGCGCGAGCGCCAACACCACTGGGAAATGGTATTGGGATTGTGGAAATGGAAAAGCGTGACGTACGCTCTTCGTGGCTTCAGACAAACTTTATGCTCTTGACGAAGACTTATTGCAGCACCTCGCGCTTCGCGCTCGGCGCAAACTAAAAAGTTACCACACCAGTGGTTCAAATGCAAGTTAAAGCGGAAATGTTAGTACAAGCTGTACAATACAACAGGTGCTGATGCATTCGACACTTTTCGTCGACACGAGGACATGGTGTTATAGTGTTGCCCATGAGAGAGGTCGGAGGGATTTCAAGGTCAGTGCAGTAAAGGTTTCCGCCTTTTAACGCTGCAACCGAAATACTGTTCAAATGTGGATTCCTTGAAGGACTCGAATGTTACAGCTTCGTAAGCAGAATTATGTTCTCCAATACATTTCGAAGCAAACTGGCTGTAGCAACATTGGATGGGCCGTGGTCCACTTTCCGGTCGGCACGTTCATGGTCGATCGACTCCAAACATGCGTTGCTGGTGAGTCTTTAACTGCGAATCTTTAACTTGTTATACTGTAAGACCTTACTTATGTTCCAACACCGCAATAATAATTTAAAATATTAGAGCCATAATTGAAAAGCCTCACCCATCATGAAACTTTTTTCTTTCAGACGGGAAGAGTATCTCCAGACTCAGGTTACAGTTCCAGTGCGCATAATCGCTACGGAAGTAGGTGACCGAGCTATCTAAACTGTCCAGTGCATTTCAGCTCTCTTATTTTCCGAGGATATTACACTTTTTTGTAAAACTTTCTCTGCTGCACAAAATGACACTGTAGTTGCGCAAACCCAAAATTAATGCTTCTGTTCTGACATATCCCATACTCCATTGCAGTGCACGTAAAATTTCAACGAATCACATTTTTAACGTTACTTCGTATTCAAAAGCCAATATTCATCCGTGCTCGGCTTGCATACACTCAAAAAATGGCACAAAAAGTACTTACTCAAAAACGCAGTGTGCTTGTATATGTACAGATATTTCCACAGAAAAAACACGCTTTTACTCCAGTCTCCTGTTATTATCAAAGTCCTCTACAGTTTAAATTTTCATGGCAGTACAAAAGCAAATAAAGCACGTCATCTTTTCGTACTAAACCAAACCGTCAAATACCAAACAAAGCACGTCATCTGTTCATTATTCTTCTTATGGAAAACGTTAGAGCAAAAATCCTTAACACAAAGACTTCTCATGGTCAATAAAGCGCAGTAATCATACCTTTGACCTTCATGACTTTTGATTCCTCATGAAGTTTTTACCTAGACCACCAAAGCTGGCCCCATAATAAGAAATGGATTGACAACTAACACTGATTTTTTATGCTTTATTTGTAAAATTATGGGAGACGGTTCGCAAAATTATGGAAAGACCATAAAATTATGGGAGACTCTTCCGAATGGGAGACTGTTCGCACCTACCTTTCCCTGTAAGCACCCGCAATGAAAGCCTAACGATGCTGCAGAAGCTAGGAAATTTTAATTTTGCGGAAAATTTGAATATTTCCCAACAGTTTTTAATCAAAATATAGAAAATTAAAGGAGTTTCGCGAAGTCCAGAGCTTTATTCGATATTATTCCCTGCTGGTTTATTGTCCGATTCCACATGCCCCCTTGCCAAAAACAGCTACAAATCTTGCCATAAACAGCTATAAATGTTTTACTAAGTGTCTGCAGACAGGAAAGCTTTCTTAGGTTTAATTGTTTAAAACGTCCGCACACAGTCTGGACAACACCCAATCCGAAACAGCCGGCACGACATAAATAGGAGAAACTATAAAATATCCACAGATACAAAAATGCTCTGTAAGTCAGATATTGCATACACAATTTACATAATTCGAGTATGTATCTGTAAACATAAAAAAACAGAAAAACATAACTGCGTATGTCCAATCTTTAACCGTCGATCAATATTTATACAAACGGCTGAAATTCCGTATTTTTAGAGTATTTCTAGAGTGTTTCTTGTTATGTACATGTATTCCCCGAGTATCCGCCGCCAACATCTGGGGAGCCAGCGTTTTAGAGCTGATGAAACCGATTCACCACATTACGACACTGTTTGACCACCTTATAAAGAGTTTTACTGCGCAGATTTATCGAATGCTGGCCAGTGGCCATGCTGTTTCTGCGAAGCTG